TGATATGATTTTATTAGTTTCTGAAAAAAAAATAAAAAGTGATGATCACTAATAAATAAATTTATTATGWACAAAATATTATCTGTAGATTATTCAATTTGTAACTTTGTAATTCCAATACACATAATTATATTATATTAAGCAATTTTCATTACCGAATTAGGTGCAATTTTTTCAGTGAGTTGTTCATATTTTTGGTTATTCTCAAATGATTTCCAAATACTTGGAATAAGACATGGAATGAAACCATAAGTGACAACAGAGTGTATGCTTCTTGATACTATAGCACAATGAATTGAACTTAAAATTATATCAGTAGAATCATCAGAATGCTTTAACATACATTCTTTTAAAGAAGACAATAGTTCAATTAGTTTATTAACGTAAAGGAATCTGAAAATATTAATGTCTCTTCATATTATAATAATCAAAAATAAAAATAAATACATTACCTAAGACTTTGATTTTTGTATTCATTGGAATGACCAGATATATTAATATCTCTAACTCTTTTTAAGTTACTATCATTAAATGTTTCACCTAAAATATTTACAAATCGTAAATAAAATAATAACATATCATAACATAAATATTTATTTATACATTTAATAATATATTGTACCTAAAACTTCATAATTTAAATTCTTAAAACAAACAAGTGGTTATATAAAGACATTATACATAGTGAACTTATTCATTGTAGATACTAAATAGGTATAACATTGATAGTAAATACTTAGAATTCCTTTAACTACATAAGTTAAGCTTACTCCTCTGAACCATTAAAAAATATGCCTACAATAAAGTAGATTCAAAACTATATAGTTATTTTGACATAAGTTTAAACAATTAATTAGATATTTACTTTGATTTTGTAACATCGCTGGCTTATATCAGGTAAGTATTAAGTATATATTTACTGAAGTATATTATATTATAATTAAATAGATCAGAAACCCAACAAGGAATATTCTACATTAAAATCTCACCAGAATAATTCTTTGAGGTAATTGTGGACATCAAATCGATAATATTTTGAATCTCCATAWCAAATATTGAATATTCATATAGTCTTAACTTTAGATTGAGCAGTTACAATAAACATAACTAATTCAATTACAAAAAAACTCGTTTTATAAAATACTCTATTTATTTAAATAATGGAATTGAATCATGTAACTTCAACAGTTTAATTTACTTTAGAAACAAAAGTTACAAAGCTCTGAACTCGGGAAACGGCGGGACGTGTATTGATAAAACCAAGACAATATGATAACATAATCATATATTTTATCAATAATAAACGATAAACACGTACGGAATACCACGACAACAACGTTCAAAATTTAAAATGTTCGGTTTGTACTGATTTTTTGTCGGCTTGTCTTTTCGTATTTTGTTATGTTCACTGGACTGGATAACGATTGACYATTGCTCAATTGTAAACATTTTTTTGTTTTCGATTTTATTGTTTCCCAAACCACACTATTGGGTTTGTGTTTTCAGTTTTCACGTACAGATTTTTTTTCATTTTGTTTTTGTTATTGATGCACAGAACATAATAAACTAAATATAAAAATGGTAAGCTAAATAAAATAATAATGTGTTAGAAGTAGATGCCTGACTAGCGAAAGATATTCTAAATAATTTATCATAGWGTTYGTGGCGTTTGAAAATTAATTTGTTATTGTTGTTTTGGTGATTTCAGGTTTCGTTGGATCCTGTACGCATTTTGAAACACCAAGCTGAAGAAGACAGAGGGGAAAATGCACGTCTATCCAGTTTCATCGGTGCAATTGCCATTGGTGATTTGGTCAAAAGCACACTGGGTCCAAAAGGTATGGACAAGATACTAATTTCTATGGGTCGAGGTGGTATGGATTCCAAAGTTGAAGTGACTAATGACGGTGCAACTATATTGAAGAATATTGGAGTGGATAACCCAGCAGCTAAAATATTGGTTGACATGTCAATGGTTCAAGATGCTGAAGTTGGTGATGGTACTACATC